GTCAAACGATGAATGATCAAATTTGAGCCCTTGTGTTTACGAGATGAGCTACTCTGGCTCTCAAGGTAACACAATGTGCAGAGGAGCAGAGTGCTCAACCTTCTTCACCACCATTTCAAGGCACTTACTCTCAGAAAGGTTTTGCACACTGAGCATAGTGTACTTCTAAAAATATCAGCGACGCCAACAAGGTTGAAGTTGTTACACGATCCGTACCAGTTGTGACCATTTCAAATGTGAGTAAACCATCTGAGAGCTGTAAATCTTCTTCTTTCAGCTTTTCCCTCTTCGGTAGTTGCCACAGTGAGTCGTCCTCCTCCATCTCTGTCCTCACTCCAACTACCTCCATGTCCTAACTGCATCCATACATCTCCTCTTTATCTTTCTCCTGCCAGCTGCATTTCTAACATCCTTCTACCAATATACCCACTGTCTCTCCTCTGGACATGTCCAAACCACTGTCCGTCCTCTGGACATGTCCAAACCATCTCAGTCTGGTCTCTCTAACTTTATCTCCCAGTTGTTCAACGTGTGCTGTACCTCTGATGATCTCATTCCTAATCTTATCCATCCTTATCACTCCTAAGGAGAACCTCAACATCTTCATTTCTGCCACTTCCAGTTCTGTCTCCTGTCTTTTTGTCAGTCAACTTCGTCTGGACTCTCTTCTTCACTTCTTTACCACATTCCCCATGGTCCTGGACAAGTTCTTGAAGTCCTGCACCTTTGTGACCTCTGCTCCTTGTAGCCTCACTGTTCCACCTCCTCGCTCTCATTCACACACATGGACTCTGTCTCACTACGGCTGACTTTCATTCCTCTTCTTTCAAGTGCATACCTCCACCTCTCCAAGTTCTCTTCCACCTGTTCCCTGTTCTCACCACAGATCACAATGTCATCTGCAAACATCATAATCCATGAGGATTCCTGCCTGACCTCATCTGTTAGTCCCAGAGAAAACAAAAAGGGGCTCAGAGCCGATCCTTGATGCACTCCCACCTCCACCTTGAAGCCATCTGTCACTCCTACAGCACATCTCACCACTGTCCTGCTGTCTTCATACATGTCCTGACCAGTCGAACATACTTCTCTGCCACTCCAGATTTCCTTGTACAATACCACACCTCCTCCCTCGGCACCCGGTCATCTGCTTTTTCTAAATCCACACAGACACAATGGAGTTCTTTCTGACCCTCCCTGTACTTCTCCATCAGCATTCTCAAAGCAAAGATGGCGTCTGTGGTGTTCAAGTCAGTCAAGATGCAATAATGTAAATTCTGAGTCAGCATTCTCTCCATTGCTTTCTTGTTCACAGTTGCGATAGCGAACTATGAATGTTTGAAACTTTTATACTTTTTGCAATATTTAACTCCATTTACAAACATTTCTGCATATAAATACATCAGTATCATCAGTCTCTCTTCAGAAACATTGCTCTAAAATCTGCTTCAGTATACTTACCTGCTTTAGGTCTTTCTACTCTTTATTTAGCTTGTCGATACTGTCTTGCTATTTCTGCCTTTTAGCAATGATTTGGCTGTTTTCATCTTTTAGCTACTTTGGTTCTGCTAACTGTAGCTTTTCACTGAAATATTGCTATATGAACATTTAGCATTTAACGTTTACATAGCTAAGATTTTGCTAATCTTAACTTTGTTTTGTAACTTTTTAGCTACTTTTTTGGGTAAATTTAGCTTTTGGTTACAGTTATACTATTTTTGTAGCTATAGGTTGGATAATTTTACCTTTTAACTACAAATTTGTTAATTCTTAAGTATGGTTTTCATAACTTTGGCCTTTATCTAATGTTTGCTAATTTGAGCAAAAAGTTAGCTTAAAAACGCAGCTTTACATTTTTAGCTAGTTTTGTGTAATTTTAGCTTCTGTTTTGCAGGTTTGAGCTCGCTCCTCTGCAAGTTTCAGCAGAGTCATTGAGCGCTCGCGCTGCGTCCACTCAGAGGATCTAATGGTTCTGGTTTCTGAGTAAGATACTGGTTTTTATGGCAGCGTGTCAGCTGCACGCTCCACAGACAGAGGTCTGAGCTTCTAGGAGCTCCTTACTGAGCTTAACCTCTCCTGTTCCCGTGCCCTGCTCTGCAGTGACCCAATTCCCAGGACTTACAGTCTTTGTGTCAAGACCGTTTGGACCCCGTCGTCCTCTGATGCACCTCTTGGACTCAGCATGAACTGATGCCTGATTTTTTTTTTTACTGACGTTATTCCTTTAAATTTAGCAACAGACGTCACAAAGATCCATCGTGAAAGAGGAGTTCAAATTCAGCTTCACGTTTGTTTTAATACTTTTATATTTTCCAGTCTCATATTTCTGGTATGTCTGATAAAGCCTCTCCATGCTTGTGATTTGTCTAATTTTATTTGACAAAATAATAATAAAAAAAAAAGCAAATCTGGTCTTTTATTGATAATTCATGTAGAAAACATTTCTCCCTTTGATTTCTGGGATGTGACTGAGCACTGTAACCTTCATCCTGCTGGTTCTGTGCAGCAGCACTCAGTGTTAGTAGACGGAGTATTAATGCAACCTGGGTTGCTCCTTCTGCTCTCTCCACATGACCCTGATAATCCCTGCTAGTCTGACACACACACATGAACACACACATGGCTAACACACGGTTAGCAGCACTCACAGCAGAGTAGTGACGTTATTTTAGTCAGGCTTATATACTTTTATTTATTTATGTCATGGATGCTCTTTGGTTCCCTGACGTGACCAAAACAATGACTCCAGACTGGGGGAGCGTTCAGCAGAATCCCTGCAGGAGCAGAGGGGGGGGGGGGGGCAGGTCAGACTGACCCTGCTGATCTGCTCAGAGATCGATCGTTAATATGAGAGGAGTTGATCCAGGTCTGAGAACTGCGAGGATAAAAGTCCCACTGATTTCAGTCGTCTCAAGCAAGTTCTGATTATTTTTTGAACGTTGTTTAAAAAGAAGGTGGTGTTCATGTTTAATGAAGGGTTAGTGCGACCAGAATGTAAAAGTAATACTTGTGCTCTGAGGTCACAGACTGCGCATACAGATCAGAAGAAATCATTCTGGTCTTCCAGAGAATGAAGAACTTTTACAAATTGGCTCAGCATCAGATCAATTACAACTTGTGTTGCGAAATGTTTTTCAGTGTTTTTATTTTATTTAATTGTTTTGGTTTTTTTTGCAGTAAGTGTTTAGGATCTGTTCAGCTGTGGTGGCCATCTTGGATCAGGTTGACTCCATCAGTTAGTCAGTGGTTTGTGAGATATTTTGCTAACACAGCCCCTCTTTTACGTGCTCTATAACACTGAAGACATTTTTTTTGAGAATGAACCAGTTTATGTTTCTGTTAGAACTTTTACATCTGGAGGGGCTTTTTATACTTGTTTTTTTTTTTTATGGTGACACTTATTTTTAAACACCTGCACATTTATACAAGAATGTTGCTTTGAGACATATTTAATATTGTTGGAGGAAATTATATTTATATCCACACTTGTCTCTTAATTTGACCGAAACTGACGTCTCAGATTAGTCTTGAGCTGCTAAAGATGCTTCACTGGAATCTCATCGTGCTCGTGCCAGTTACCAAGAATTGAATCACTGCTTCATCCTGACTCAGCTGCTGTTACGCAACTGTACTGACCACTCTGACAGACAGACAGGCAGGCAGGCAGACAGACAGACAGACAGGCAGACGGGCAGACAGGCAGACAGACAGACAGGCAGACAGGCAGGCAGACAGACAGACAGGCAGACAGGCAGACAGACAGGCAGACAGACAAACAGACAGACAAGCAAGCAGACAGACAGACAGATAGGCAGACAGACAGACAAGCAGGCAGACAGACAGGCAGACAGACAAACAGACAGACAAGCAGGCAGACAGACAGACAAGCAGACAGACAGACAAGCAGGCAGACAGACAGACAGACAAGCAGGCAAACAGACAGACAGACAGGCAGACAAGCAGGCAGACAGACAAACAGACAGACAGGCAGGCAGACAGACAAGCAAGCAGACAGACAGGCATACACACAGGCAGACAGACAGACAAGCAAGCAGACAGACAGACAGGCAGACAGATAGGGGGACCTCCTCCATCCTCTTATCTTCCAACAGCAGGTTTTGTTAAAGTCTGCAACTGGCTGCTCTGTCACACTCATAGGATTTACCCCCCCCCCCCCCCCCCCACACACACACACACATATGCACGCACACACGTACACACAGGAAGTTGAGTCATATGCGCATATAGAGGGGGGCCGATATGTTCACAGATCTTTCTGCGCGTCATGGTAAACC